TAATAATATACCACAGTCTGGGAAATTTAAAATGAACACAAATATATTGGCTTACACTTCTGAAGGCTGGACAGTCCAATATCAAGTCACCAGCATCCCGTGAGGGCTATGTTGCCATTTYACCATATGGTGGAAGGCAGAAGGGCAGGAGACAAAACAGGGACCTAACCCACCCATTTATACTGGCATTCATCCCATCATGTGGGCAGAGTCCTCATGGCCTAATCACAAAAGGTACCACCTCTTAATACTGCTGCAGTTATAATTCCATTTCAGTATGAGTTTTGAAGGAGACAAGTATTGAAAGTATAGCAGACTGCTATAACAGTATATCATGGACAGGGTGGCTTAAACAATAGACATTTGTTTTTCACAGTTCTGGAGACTTGGAAGTCCAAGGTACCAGCTGATTTGGCTCCCAGTGAAGGCTTTCTTTCTGGCTTGCAGATGGCCACCTTCATATGGTGGTGGGAAAAAGAAATGTCTCTCCTCCTCCTTATAGGGTCACTGGCACTATAATGAGAGACCCACCCGTGACCTTATCTAACAATGTCTCCTAAAAGACTCATCTCCAAATCTCATTTCACTGGGACTTAAGACTTCAACATATGAAATCTGGAGTACACAAACATTCAGTACATAATACAGTTACCTTGGTGAAAGTCATTCCTTTGGAAATGGCTAAGATAATGATTAATAGTATAAATTTTTGCCTGTGTACTAGAATTCTTCCCAAAGGGACTGGCCTTTTTTTTTCACTCAGACATTTCTTTTCTGCATACATGTTTAAGTCAGGTCATGGTCCTCTGCTTCTTTGTTCAGTGTTTAGCCAACCCACCAGGTAAACTGTTAAGAGCCCTTTCTAACTCGGAGTAGCAACACTAAGTATAGAATCTCTGTTGTATGAGTTCTTGCTAATAAATTCAGCCTAATCCACTTTTATGTTTCTTCCCCCATTATCCTATGCCCTTGATATCCCATCCCACACATGCTCTAGGGGTCCATTTGGAGTATTGTGAACCTCCCCATGGGTCATATTTTGTAGTTTACCTGTCGGGGTTTGTTTTGATTGGAGTCTAGTTACAGGTCTATAAGCAGAGAGGGAAGTTGGGAATGGGTCCAGAGGAAAGTTGGAATAGCATTGCATGGCAGTTTCTTCAGGGGAGTTTCCGCAGGCAATCAGGGTTAATTCCCATGGTGTGGAGGGGCTGTTTCCACAGAGAGTATAGTGGCCTCTTCCACTGGGGGTGAAGAGCTTGCTTCCAATAGCAAAGAGTCATGAGGTTCATACTGAGGTTATTATGCCCCAGATGATGGGAGAATAATGAAATTTAAGTGGGGAAATGCCATGATATGATTTGCGTTTGAGATTTCTGTAGCAACACTATGGAAAATCATTTAGAGGAGCAGAGAAAGGATATTGGGTAGCTGCTATATAGTAGTTCAGGTGAGAAACCATGGAGACTTTACATTGAGACATTCAGCACATTTAGTGAGCTTTATTTTTATTCCACATCAGTGTTCTCAGGCGATAATCTGCATTGTGCAGAATCCTTGTTTCCTGTATTGGCTTCAGATGGTTGAGRCTGCTCAGGGAGAAGTTGCTTTTCAGCAGATATCTGTGGTTTATAAATTGGCAGTGATGATTAATACCGAAACTATTCTAGAATTCTGTTTTCTCATCTTCCTTTTTTTTGTTTTGAGTCAATAAGAACAGCAACCAAAAAGGGAATATGATATTCGTCATATATTTGGAGAGGCTTCCCTTTAATTAAGAAAGAGAACAGACAGCTACTAACAGAGGGATTTTTCTGTTTTCTTCCTGGTAAACTATATTCATTACCCATCAAGGTGTGAGGTACTTAATAGGTGCTTAATATATATTTAATGTATGAAGGAAGAGGTGAAAGAATGGATGGAGGAAGAAAGGGAGGAAAGCAAACAGGCAGGGAGGGAAAAAGGTAGAGAGAAGGGAAGACAGAGGAAGTAAAGAAAGAAAGAAGAAAGGAAGGGAGGCAGGAAACAAGGAGGGGAAGAGGAAAGGAGGAAGAAAGGAGGGACCAGTCTTTACTTTGATATTTCTGTATCTGGGTTTTTGTTTGTTTGTTTGTTTGTTTTGTTTTGGGTATGGTGGATTGAACCCAGGGGCACTTAACCACTGAACCGCTCCCCCAGTCCTTTTTTGTGTTTTATTTAGGTGTGTGCCACTGTGCCTGGATATATTTATTTTTCTTTCAGTTTTTGTTTCTGCTATTTAGTTAAGGCTTCTCTGAATTTAGAGTTGTTGATTTTGTCTAGATTTTGATACCGGTCTTGGAGATCAGGAACAGGTCCTTGTTCTCCCAGTGTTGAAGATTAAAAGATTAAGAAAAGAGATAATAACAGTCTTCTCTGAAGAGAAGGGGGCCCAGAGCTGGGTATCCTGGAGGGGGTGTGTCTTGCACTTTTGTAGACTTCAGAATCCCCCTTTTAATCCTTGCCTTCTCTTTCTTCTCCATGTACAAGCCTAGGGCAGGAGGGAGCAGGTGCACAGGAGTTAATCCTTAGCAACCCACTGTGCTGGGCAGTGTGACCCCTGAGGTTAACTTTTTTTTTTTTTTTTTAGAGAGAGAGTGGGGGGGGGGGGGGGGGGGGGGGGGGAGAGACAGAGAGAGAGAGAGAGAGAGAGAGAGAGAGAGAGAGAATTTTTTAATATTTATTTTTTAGTCAAAGAAAACAGACCCCCCAATTTTTTTTTTTCTTGTTTTGCCTGAGGCTCCATTATGTCGTTTTTTTAATTGTTGGTTGTTCAAAGCATTACATAGTTCTTGACAAATCATATTTCACACTTTGATTCAAGTGGGTTATGAACTCCCATTTTTACCCCGTATACAGATTGCAGAATCACATCAGTTACACTTCCATTGATTTACATATTGCCATACTAGTGTCTGTTGTATTCTGCTGCCTTTCCTATCCTCTACTATCCCCCCTCCCCTCCCCTCCCCTCTTCTCTCTCTACCCCCTCTACTGTAATTCATTTCTCCCCCTTGTATTATTTTTCCCTTTCCCCTCACTTCCTCTTGTATGTAATTTTGTATAACCCTGAGGGTCTCCTTCCATTTCCATGCAATTTCCCTTCTCTCTCCCTTTCCCTCCCACCTCTCATCCCTGTTTAATGTTAATCTTCTTCTCATGTTCTTAGTCCCTACTCTGTTCTTAGTTACTCTCCTTATATCAAAGAAGACATTTGGCATTTGTTTTTTAGGGATTGGCTAGCTTCACTTAGCATAATCTGCTCTAATGCCATCCATTTCCCTGCAAATTCTATGATTTTGTCATTTTTTAATGCAGAGTAATATTCCATTGTGAATAAATGCCACATTTTTTTATCCATTCGTCTATTGAAGGGCATCTCGGTTGGTTCCACAATCTTGCTATTGTGAATTGTGCTGCTATGAACATCGATAGCAACCCCTTGTCTTTTCTTTGATAACCAGTCCTCATCATCTCAAACCCTATCATTCATTACCTACGCTGACTGCCAGGACCCCACCCCCATTTTTGGGAGGAATGTGACATATCCTGTCTGCTCAGGCCAGGCAGGACTGCAGGAAGATCGGCACAGTGAGCTCATTTTATAGACATTCTCTTATCCTCGTGTTCCCCATTCTCATCTATCTGTTCCCTTGCAATTCCTGCTCTCTCTGGTTTCTCCTATATCCCTTGTCTTACAGTGGGTCAGATAGAGACTGAGGAAGACTAATAAATAAATGGGACTTATCTATGCCAGGTCATGGTATAGGGTGAAGAAATCTGTCAGCTTCTGATGTATTTTGTAGGAATGGGCAGGTTATTACAAAAGTAATTACAGGTAGTCATTTTGATGAGGTAAGTACTATTATTTAGCAAATATAGTGCTTTCATAGAGGTTTGCAAAAAATGTCTAGGGCTTAGGGAACTATAGTTATTTTTTTCCTTTACTGGAATTTTTATAGTTATTTCTGTTTTTATAAGAGCTTGATTGGGGATGTTAACATGTTTCATCTCATTTTTCCAGTAAAGGTTTCTGTATTTGTTTTTCATTTTATTTGATCCCCTGCTTCTTTTTTGCTTTATCTCTTTCTTCTCCATATTCATTTTCTTTAAAACCAAGTGGCCTAGTATCAGATGTGTGTGATAAGCAAGTGTGMACTTCCTTTAATTAAGGAGGAAGTACTGGCATTTTGGCTTGAAAATACTTCTAAAGAAAATAAATACTTCCAAATAACTTATTTTTTAGGCATATATAATTAGGTAGAAAAGTTGAATATTAAGTGATATGTAAAATTTAAGAAAACAAGAATGGATTGATACTTTGTCATCTATTATAGGTGTTTGTCAATTCATCTATTTAACAGAAATATCTAAACTCAATATCCATAAAGTGGTAACTGGAAAAATGATTGGCAGTATTTTCACCAGGTCCCCCTAGCTGATCTAATCAGGGGTACGAAATGTGTACATGAGAGCAGTGAAAAGGAATGTGCTGAGATGGCACCATACTGTGCATTGACTTTAAATGATAATTTCTTGTTTAATGGTATTTTCTTTTTCTTTTTTTTCTTTTTTTTAAAGAGAGAGAGAGAGAGAGAGAGAGAATCTTTTAATATTTTTTTTTAGTTCTCGTCGGACACAACATCTTTGTTTGTATGTGGTGCTGAGGATCGAACCCAGGCCGCACGCATGCCAGGCGAGCGTGCTACCACTTGAGCCACAGCCCCAGCCCTTATTTAATGGTATTTTCTTATAGGACTTGAGTGCTTTAGACTGGCTTTAAGGGCAATCTAAATGTTATTTTTTCATTTGTTGTTATATATGAAATATGGAACAAAAATTTTTTATCTGTAAGGGCTAAATCTTGTTTTCAGAGTTGTGGAGGCAGTTCATCCAGTGTATGGACTGTCAAAGGGAATAGTTTTATTTTTGAGTTAAATTACTATAACTTTTTTTTTTTCTCTTTTAAATGTTCAATGTTACAGAAGCCAAGGCTGCCCCAAGAGATTGCTTCATTGAAGTGAATTCTAAAGGTGACAGATTTGGCAATTGTGGTTTCTCTGGCAATGAGTACAAGAAGTGTGCCACTGGGTAAGTGGAGGTGAGGTCCTAGAGCATTGTGAAGATGATAAGACCAGTCTTCTCTAGTGTCCTCTGTGACAAGTCCTTGCCACAGCTCCTAGCAACTGCTGACTTTCTCGTTTTCTATGTATTTTTAAAATTTTATATATTTTCTTTTCGTTTTTTGTGATGGGTTTTCACTGTGTTGCCCAGGTGGTCTTGAAAAGTGATTCTCCTGCCTCTGCCTCCCCTCCCAGATGCTGGGGTGGCAGGCTTATGCTATCATGCATAACCTTCCTAACCTTCAAAATTAATGTTTTACAATACAAGGCTTCAGACAGTCTCTGGTGTTAGGGATAAAACTGGTAAAATAATTCATTTCTTTCAACATTAACTGTCTCAAACCTAATAAGTTTTAGATTCTTACTTTGTTTATCCTAGATCAATAATAAGAATCCCAACTAAACACCCTTTTCTTTTTCCTTTCAATATTAGATTATATTTCCAAATCCCAAGGTAAAGGGTATTTGCAGAATTAATTCTGGAGTTCATTATTTTATTCTAGCTCTACATAATTTTTAAATTGTGGATTAAAACTTTTTATTCTTATAATTAACATTTACTTATTGTAAAAATATTAATAACATTAAAAACTTACAAATGAGAACAAAGTCATCCATCTTAACCCATATATGTTCACTAATTTCAATGTCTTTCCTCTGTTTTAATTTCTGTACACTGTCTCTACTCACACTAACATTTTATTTAATGGGAATTAATTTGTAATATCGTGCTCTGTTCTACCCACTCCACCTCCTAAACCCCCCAGTTAGACTAAGAAACTTGTAGTGAGACAGTGTTTCCTAGGAAGAAATAGCACTGACTTCTACATGGCAAATCCAACAGATACTTTTAGGTCTTCATGGTACTTGACCTTTCAGTAGCATTCATTTCTCATTCTTGAAAAAACCTCTTTCCTTACCGTAAGGTGAGTCCTTCATCTGCTATGTATTATGTATGCATGTATGTATGTATTTTCTGTGGCTTCATTTGCCACATCTGTGAAATGCTTCAGCCATACTGGCCTATAAGTGCCTTTTGCCACAGGACCTTTTGCATATACCATTTCTTAGCATGGTTAATTCTGTTTATCTTCCCAATCGCAGTTCAAGTATAGCTTCTTTAAGGAAGACTTCCTCCAGTTTCTTAACAGGGTCAAATATCATACTTACACATATTCTTAATGCTATATATCTCTTTTGCATAGAATTTGATGTGTTGTATTCTCATTACTGTTCAAAATATTTTCTAATTTGCATTGTGATTTTTCCTTTGACTTGTAGGTTGAAATGTGTTACTTAATTTCTAAACAATTGGTAATATTCTGATTATCTTCTTGATTTTGATTTCTAATTTAATCCCATTCAGGACATACCATATATGATTTCAGTTCTTTGGAATTTATTGAGATATACATTGTTGCCCTGTATATGTGGTTTATTTGGGTGAATGTGCCATGTGCAATTAAAAAACAGTATTCTGCAGGGTTTCCAGATTCATTATTCTGTTAATATCAAATTAATCAATAGTTGAAATTTCCATGTCTTTTGGGAGGTTTTTTTTTTTTTTTTTAATCTGTTTGCTCCTTCAGTTTCTGAGGGAGGCATGCTAAACTCATGTTATGATTATGAATTTGTCTGTTTTCTTTTTAGTTTTTAAATTTTTATTGTGTATGGTTTGAATTTGTTATTGAGTGCATGSACTTTGAGGATTATGTCTTCTTGATGAGTTAATCCTTTTACTGTTACCAAACTTACATCATGATCTCTGGAATATTCTTTTGTAATATTTGCCACCATTTTAGTTCTGTGACTACTTGCTTATCACTCATCCTCACTAAACTGTAAGTTTAGATGACACATTTTATCATTAGTGTTTAACATAATGCCTGGAACACAGTGCCTAATAAAGTTTGTTGAATTAGCTAATGAATGAAGGTACAGATTAATGTAGGTGATGAATTAGTATAAAGGGATAAAGATTAGTGTTTAGGGCTGGGGATGTGGCTCAAGCGGTAATGGGCTCGCCTGGCATGCGTGGGGTGCTGAGTAAAATAAAGATGTTGTGTCCACCGAAAACTGAAAAATAAATATAAAAAAAAGTCTTCTCTCTCTCTCTATCTTAAAAAACAAAGATTAGTGTTTAGGGATAAGTGGATTCATGCAAACTTGGAGAGAACTTGGTAGACATATCATATCCTTCTTTATAGCCTAGTTTGGTTTCTTATTTTTATAACTCTCATTGAACATATGGAAGCTATACTTGTCAAACTTATAAATTACTGAGTAGCTAATTTGAGAAAAATTTTATAATAGTAATATAATGGTACTATAGTTATTCTGAATACACATTTGAAGTTAGACCCTTTGAGTTTGAAATCTGGTTCAACTTCTTAACATCTCAGAGACTTTAAACAATTTACCTCCCTTTCATTCTCCTTTTTTTTTTTTCCTATAAAATGGGGATAATGTTGGTATTTATTTCTAAGTGTTTTTTTTTAAATATTTATTTAGTTGTAGTTGGACACAATACCTTTATTTTATTTATTTTTATGTGGTGCTGAGGATCAAACCCAGGGCCTCACATGTGCTAGGCAAGTGCTCTACCACTGAGCTACAACCCCAGCCCTCTAAGTGTTGTTTTGAAGACTAAATGAGTGTTGAATATTAGTGCTAAGGGCAGTACGTGGTCATTGTAGTGCTCCTCCTCCTTCTCTTCCTCCTCCTCCTCATCATGATCTTTATTATAATCTCATCATAGAAAATATATATATATATATATATATATATATATATATATATATATATAAAATCTAAAAAAAATCTAAAGAATAATCACATATGGTTCTATCATCCAGATATTTCCTTGAAGTATTTTTTTTCCTTTTCATGTGTTCATATATTTCTAAACACGAACCACATGTTTCATGTTGAACATAAACATTGCTATTCTAAACATGTGGTTCATATTTAGAAATATATAAACCATGTGCAACACCTTGACTGAAAGGGCTATTTTTCTCTTTTTTTTTCCAGTATATAGATAATACCATCCTTTTGAACTTTTCATTATTTCGTTTATTTTAAATTACTATAGTTTTGGTGCTGAAGGTTGAACCCAGGGCCTTATGCATGCTAAGCATATTCTCTACCACTGAACTACACCCACTGCTGTTCTTTAAGGCAATTCACAATACTGTATCACCTCTAGCAAAATGATCAGCTTTTAAATATCTGATACCTAGTTGATGTTCATATTTCCCTAGTCTTCCTCAAATTGTGTTTCACACTGACAATTTTTCCATATCAGGACTCAAATCAAGGATCATCTGTTGCATTTAGTTGTCATGTCATTTAAGTCACTTTCAATCTAAAATATTCCCCTTCATTATAATATTTTTCTTTCCAACTGCATTGACCTGTGGAAATGGCTGGGCCAATAAGCCCATGTTTTGGATTTGTTTGATAATTTTCTTTCAGTGTTGCTTGACTTTTATCTGTTCACTGAATTTTCTTTAAATGAGAATTGAAATCTAAAATCTTAGATTTGGGTTAAATACATCTATTAAAAATACTTCATAAGTGATCATTATGTTAAGAAGGCACATAATATGGGCTGTCTTACGATTGGTGATACTAAGCAACAGTGACCAGATCTTGCTATCATAAAGTTAGGATTTTCCATTGCAGCCATCAGATAATATGTGGAATGATGCTTTTGTGCAATATGAATATCCACTGCCCCACCACTGTTTCACCCCATGGATGATCCTTAACTGAAGCAATTATTTTATTGAGGTTGTGATATTATAGTTTATAAAAACATCTTTTTGTCTTTTTTTGGGATGTTTCTGTTTTTTATTTTGTGAACTGCCTGTATCTTTATGAAGTTTTTTCTGTTCAAATGATTTTTTAAATGATGTGTAACAGTTTTTTTTATGTTAAGAGTATTTTCCTTTTATACTTTAATATGTCACCAAGATTGCATATGAAATAATGAATGTATCTCAGCAATGTGAATTTTGTCAGGCTCCGGAAGATGTTAACTGAGATCCACTTTATGCTATGTATCATTTTAGAGGTTTCATACCTGATCTCCCAACTATGTAATATAGGCATTATTATTTTTTTCCCTCTTTTAGATGAAGAAACTGAGGGACGAGTTTAAGCACTTTTACTCTGGTAATCTAGCAAATGAATGTCAACATAGAATAAATGTAAAGTTGGGACAAAATCATTAATTCTTATTGCAGAACAGAGAGAAGATAGGGAATAGCAGCATATGATAAAAATTAAATAGGAGTCTTTTTGATAAATTCAAGGGAATCAATAATGGAATAAAAATTCTGGAAAAGCTACTATAATCTTAGGCTTAATGGAAATGTAGTATCTGGAATAAAATGAAAGAGTGCTCCATTTTCTTTGCTTGTCAAGCTAAAAATGAAGTTCCATTCTGAGTATCATGCTTCAAGAGGCAGTAAGACAGACGGGTACTATGGTGCATGCCTGTAATCCCAGCAGCTGGAGAAGCCGAGGCAGGAGGATTGGAGGTTCAGAGCCAGCCTCAGAAACTTAGTGAGACCCTAATCAACTTAGTGAGACCTGTCTCAAAAAAAAAAAAAAAAAAAGGCAGTGAGGCAAACTGAAACATATTAGAAGGGAACTTCCTTGTTCCTTGTTACATGAAAAGTAATAGTAGGATATTTCCCTTGTGCAGTAAGCATTTAGGAGCTATTGTCCACAATTAGCTACCTCCTGAAAGAAGAAGATTATTTGTGTGGTCTCCTATGAAAGGTCTGGAATCAATGGAGAAGGGATAGTTAAGAGAAAGATTTTTCACTTAGTGAGTAAAAGAATGTGCATAATAGCTAAAATGGAGGAAGTTGCAGGAGGTTGTGAGTTAGAAGTATTGGAAAAAAATGTCCTATGATGACTTGGCAATAATATCATGGAAAACATTCAAGAATAGGTTAGGTGCTTAGGTCAAATGACAGTTAAAATAGGAAATTTCAATGCTGGGTCATAAAAGTTGATATTAGAAATATGCAGGATATAATGTATATAGGAAGGACATTTATCTCATACAACCTTTAAATGTGAATGGTAGCCAGGGAAAACTTCATAGATTTTGAATATCAAGTCAATAAATTAATAAGTTAGTAAATTAAGGATTGAATCTTTAAGAAGCTAGGAGTCAGGGCTGAGGATGTGGCTCAAGTGGTAGAGTGCTTGCCTAGCATGCATGAGGCACTGGGTTCGATTCTCAGATTTTATTTTTTATAAAAAATAAAATTGTTATTGTGTCCACCAAAACTAAAAAATAAATATTTTAAAAAAAGAAGTTAGGAGTCAGCCAGGCAAAGAGGGGTGGAGTCCTTTTTTTAGAGTTTCCTCCCTCACTGTGTCACATTTTGTAAACATCCTTACTAGTTAGACTCTTTTGAACACTAGATAGACAATGAAGAGGGATTAGGAGTGGGAAAAGGAGTGTTAACATCATTTGTTACCCTAATAATTTGCATCTTAGCTTCCATTTATCTCTTCTCTTCCTTTTTAAAAGATAGTTGCTTTTCATCTCTTGTTCTTATACACTTCCTCTGTTGAGATTTCCTTCAGCCAAATAGCAAATTCTGGCTTCATACAAATATGTAATTTATCTTTTGTTTGTACAGTGGATGCATTTTATGTTTCCTTTTTTTTTTCTTACTTTGTAGAAATGCTTTGTGTGGAAAGCTTCAGTGTGAGAATGTACAAGAGATGCCTGTATTTGGAATTGTGCCTGCCATTATTCAAACACCTAGTCGAGGCACCAAATGTTGGGGCGTGGATTTCCAGTTAGGATCAGATGTTCCAGATCCAGGGATGGTGAATGAAGGCACAAAATGTGATACTGGAAAGGTAATCAAAATATTTTCTGTTTATCAAATAAAATATTTAAAAAAAACTATTATACAAAGTAAAAACTATTATACAAAGTAAGTGCCTGCTCTTTTATGGTTATAAAAGAAATCTATATTTATTGTAGAAATGTTACAAAATCCAAAGTCACCAAGAAGAAAATTGAGAACATCTATAATTTTACTATCCATATTTCTTCACTGGGGTCATATAACTAATATTTTTAACTTGGCAATATACTGTGCATATTTCCTCTCTCTATTGATATGCTATTATTTATTAGCCATTTTTCTATTATTGGGACACTTAGGTGATTTCCAGAATGGGAGTGTATGTATGTTGAGTGACATGTGCCTCCGTACCAGAAATGTCATAGTGCTTGCCCTGCTCATGTTCCTTGATACGCTGACTCTACTGTTTGGGTTTTATGAGCCCAGTTATCCAGCTCATGACTTAGTGCCAGTGTGTCTATATGAGAAGATGACCTGTGCCAAATTCCTTTAAAAAACTGTTATTAAGAAAGTTAAGGGTAGGACAGACACTGGAAGAATTTTTTGAGAGATGTCATGAAGTAGGACTTGGGCTAGAAGGGCTGTGGCAAGCTTCAGCCATAATAATAGAGAGGAGGGAGTAGGAATGTTAAATGAGATGAAGAAACCAACTCACATGGAGGAGTGTAGCTGGAGGGGAAAGGTGAGGTGGAGGGAGTGTGATTGAGAGAACATAGCTATCTAATTATGTAGCCTATTATAAAGACAGACGGGTGGACCCTCTGATTACCTCAGTTTCTACTGTTTCTATTTCCAGTTCTGTTTTTCACTTCTTAGAAAAAGACTCACATGGTTTTGTGCCTACCCTTGCTATAAACTTGCCTGCTGTAGCTATTATAAATAATGCTACAGCTTTAGAAATAAAAACTTCAAAACATTCTTGATTGTTTTCTAAGTTAAACTGCTATAATGGTGTGCACACTTTTAAGGTTTTAGATATGGTTTTGCCACATTTCTATTTGGAAAAGTTTTTATTATCTTCCATTCAATTATGTTATAAGCGTTTTAAATTTTCCATCCCTTAATCAAGGTTAGCAGTTATTATTTTAAAGCTTTCAATGATGATTTTCTTTTCTTTTACTCTTTCTTCATATTGGTGATGCTGAATTTTTTCATTTGTATAAGTGTATTTATACTTTTGTGATTTGCCTGCTCATATTCTTCAACTACTTAAAAATTGGCTTCTTAATAATCTTGAAGAAATTTAACTATGTAAAATGTAATGATATATACATATATCCCTCCAGTTTACTGCTGGCTTCTTTTTATTTTAGAACTTTTTGCCATGTTTAAATTTTTATTTTCTTAAATCTACTATATGGTTTCCAACTTTATTTACCTATTTTAATATTTTGATAGGCTTTCTCAGTATATTGTAAGGTTTTTATTCTCTTGTGTTTTCTAAACTGTTTTGTTATTTTAATACTTGTCTCTTTCATTTTTGTTTGAGGTTGACATGGATTCTTTTTCATTTATTCATAGAGAAATTAATGCTATTCCAAGTTTTTTTTTTTCCAGAATGGTTTATCATTTACCTTAACAACCTTGATTCTAATCTCTTTTTAAATTTGGAATGCTGTTTGAATTACTTATTACATTTTTAGTTTATTTGGGTTCAGTTTCTATTTTATACATCATGTTCTTTCATTTGTCTGACTACTCATGTGTGCAGGCCACCTTGTTTTACTTTGAGTAGTTTTATAAGAATTTTAATATGCAAAATAGTACAGTTGCTCCTCATTCTTTTTTCATAGTCTCTTGGCTATTTTCATTTATTTATCATTTCAGATGAACTTGAGAGATCATTTTATCAAGGTGCAAAAAGTAAAAAAGGTGCTTTGGAATTTTGGTTGGGATGACATTAAATTTATGCATTTGTTATGGGGAAAAGTGACATCTTATATAATTGAATCTCCCATAGAAGAACATGGTATGTCTCTCCATTTTGGGGGGTCTTCTTTTAAAGATTTAGTCATAAAGTCCATTCATTTTTTTCATTAGGTTTTATTCCTACATAGTTGATGTTTTCATTTCCATTTTAGGACTAGGCTCCCTTTCTCCCATTGGTTTTCTGATTTATTCATTTTCTTATCAGTTTTCACTTTTAAGAAAAGTTATTTTGTTTAATATTTTTGACTTGTTATTATTGCTATTCCAAGAAACATTCATTTGTATATATTTGTTTTGTTAGCAGCCATGTACTTAGTGTCAGGTATTTTTGTTGTTGATTACATTAGCATTTTCTAGGTTAAAGAGTAATCATCTGTAAATGAAAAAAAAAAAGCTCTTTCCTTTCAGATATTTACAGTTTCAATTATTTTTTTCTCATTGAACTGCAATGATAGAATTTTTAGATAATTTTAAATAATTATTATGATGGTGTCTCTGACTTAACTGAAAATGTACTTAAGCTTCCAAGATTATATGTGACTTTGGTGACTTAAGGCAGAAAGTATTTATTATTTAAATGGAATATCTTTTTCATCCTAATTAGTAAGAATGAAAAAATAAAAGAATAGATTTAAAATTTTATAAGAATTTTTTTGATAGCTAGTGAAATAATCAGGATTTTCCTCTGATCTATTGATGTATGCTGGATTATATCAATGAATTTCCTAACATTACTTTGACATTCTATAAGACATATATATCTAAAATTTGTTTAACTTATATAGTTTTAATTTTTAAATTATAATCTTATATTCCTGAAGTGGACACTGTTTGGTAATAGATATATTCCTATATTCTTTTCCTAGTGAATATATTTTTGTACTTCTGAAGGAAGATTAGATGATTTTTTTGAATACATAAAATTTTACTCTGTGGTCATAGATAGTACTCTTAAATCTCACAAAAATGCAGCTAAGACTAGATTAAAGCATAAAAGGAAATTTATTGTTTCAACCACAGGATCAGAAAAAGAGCTTTGGGATTGAGAATTTCAGATAACGTTCCTCTGGGTCTTTCTACCTCTTCCATCCATGCTTCTCTCTTGGCTTTATTTCCTTCTGTGCACACACACCTTATCCTTGTAGTGGGGGAAGACAGATCTCACATCTTCCCAGCACCCTCAGGATAGGTAAGATTGTTCTTGCAATGAAAAATCCAGAGATCCTAGAAAAGGGCTGCAAGGCACAGCTTGAAAGGCCAGTTGTGATATGGGAAGTAGGCAGTGTAACCCTAGGACCTGTGCAGAGTACGCAGTGGCTATGTAGCCCTTTGCTTAGAAGGGAACTGATGACAACATCTCTAGCAATTAGAGAAATGTGAATTAAAACTACACTGAGATTCCATCTCACTCTAGTCAGAATGGCAATTATCAAGAATGCAAGTAACAATAAATGTTGGCAAGGATGTAGGGAAAAAGGTACACTCATACATTGCTGGTGGGACTGCAAGTTGATACAATCACTCTGGAAAGCAGTTTGGAGATTCCTCAGAAAACTTGCAATGGAACTACCATTTGACCCAGTTATCCCACTCATTGGTATATACCCAGAAGGCTTAAAGTCAGTATACTACAGTGATGTAGCCACATCAATGTTTATAGCAACTCAATTCACAAGAGCCAAGCTATGGAACCAACCTTAGTGCCCTTTAATAGATTCATGGATAAAGAAAATGTGGTATATACATAATTTCACAGGAATTTCCTATTATTTGGGGATACCAGCATTTTGTTTCTATTCAGGTCTTCAGCGGATTGGATGAGGTCCACCCATAGTAGGTAGAGCTGTTTTACTCAGTTTGTTGATTTAAATGTTAAATTTGTCCAAAATCAGGGCTGGGATTGTGGCTCAACGGTAGAGTGCTCGCCTAGCACATGCAAGCATTCATTGGGTTCTATCCTCAGCACCATATAAAAACAAATAAATAAAATAGAGGTATTGTGTCTAACTACAACTAAAAGAATTTTTAGAAAATTATCCAAAGTCCCTTGCAGAAACATACAGAATAATGTTTGACTGAATATCTAGGCACCTCATGACCTACTCAAGTTGACACTTAAAGTTAACTCACAATCAGTTATTATAAATAAATAAAGTTCAGAGTAAAACTATGAACTGGAAGAAAATCTGCAAAAATAGGTAGATCGCAATTTTAGTTTATCTTCTCTGCCAAGCCTGCCCAAAAGATAAATGAATAAATGAGGGGAAAGCATGAAATCGAGGAGATCTCAATAATAAGTAAAGATTTTAAGAACATTTGAAAAACCCAGAGGATGGAGAATATTTCAACAGTAGTGAATATACAACTTAAAATGTAAACCTCAGAGAGGATGTGCACAAGAACACTGCCTTTTAGCTTGACTAAACTGACAGATTTATGATTTGGAAGTACTGGTTATAGCTGAGTGGGATGAAGCATGGAACTGAAGACTTAGTCTACAAGGGAGAGGCTGGCTCCTCAGCGTACTTCTCATATCTTGTCAATGAAGCAGCAATAGATAGTTGTCTATTTTAGGAAGGACATCAGAAGATACTATTTTTATTGTACTGGGAGATGCTTGTCTCCCATGTTCTTTCTATAGTACACAGTTGTCTTTTATACGCCTGTAACTGGCTTTAAGTGGATTGCTGCATGAAGTTGGACAATTCTTGCACAAAAAGTTAGAGATGGAAAGTGTGAAAGAAAAGGTAAAATTCTGAGAAGATAAATTAAGAATTTGAAATTCAGTTAATTTAAATCTCTAATTTAGAGATAAAGAACACAGAGGTGAAGTGGACAATTGTGAAATTCCAGAGTACTGGTGAAGAATAATCCTAAAACCATCCAGAGACAGAAACAAAGACAAATAAAAAATAGATCATAGGTAAAGAAAGGTGGTTAGAACTGAGTTCTGGAAGATAGGGGAGAAATATTTTTATGTTTCTGAAAGGTTCTCAACTTAGAATTTTGTATACAGTTAAATTATTAATCATGTTAGAGGACAAAATAAAAATATTTCAC